TTTTCTCTATCTTCTGTTTCCATTCAGTTTTTCTGGATCCCTGGCCACGTCGGTATTCTGCTCTGGTGCCATCACGGCCATGCCTGTCCCATACATGGACTGCGGTCCTGTCTTTAAGGCACGGCTTCGTGCCACTTGTCAGTCGACTTGGGGTGAGCAATGCCATAACAAGCTTTTCCAGATCAAGCCTACTGTTGGTCTTTGGCCATAAGGATCAGAAGGAGGAAGTAGTCTTGGCAAGGCTACGCATTGGTCACAGTTTTTTAACCCATTGTTTTCTTTTATAAGGTATTGACCCACCGATGTGTAGCCATTGTGACACTCAAGTCACAATAGCCCACATTTTTACTGTCCTGCCGTCATTACGATCGTGAGCGGCAGCATTATTTTAAACACATATTTTCTAAGAGTTTACCTCTGACGTTGGACAGTGTCATTTGGTAATGGTGACACTGTTTGATTAGATTGTATTTTTAAGTTTTTATGCACTATAGGTCTTTTTAATTGTATATAAATCTTTTATCGACATATATTAGTTTTAACTCACTGTATTTTTACATTTTACTTTAATTTACTTTCACTGTTTTTGCTGGTTGTTTGACGCAGATAGCCTCGTTACTTTGCGGCATAAAACACCAAACAACAACAACAAATTCATGAAATAATAGTTCAGTATAATTTTGAATGAGAGTCAACAAACGAGATGACATCGCCTTTCACCCAAGACCTGTCTCGAAAGGATTAACAAGTATTAAGTAGAATATTTAATTTCAAGACCTAATAGCTATGATATGTTGTGACTGACTTATAAAAAAGTAGTTTTTGAGTCAATAGAATGACAGTCTTTGGCATTGGATAGGTATTTTTCTTTGTGATTTCATTCACCTTCCAGTAATTTTTGTGGATGAATTCTCTTTCTTCATAAGTACAGTAGATGATGTCCAAGAAATGGTACTTGGGTCCATTGCACCTCTTTCTTTGGAAGCCTCAGCCTGTCTTGCAACTGGGAGTCATCTGGGCAACTGATTTATTAGGGCTGCATCTCCAGTATCAATCTTATGAAGTACTTTACCTGTCTGACCTAAGCCATGAGTTCTACTAGAGAAGGTATTTTGTGAGTTAGTCATTTAATGTGTGATTTTAATTGGGTTTAAGACTTTCCCAGATTCAGTTGTACAGCTATTGTAAATATGGTGGTAACCTACTCTTACTTGGATATTTTAAATAGACTTCTTACATTTTATTTTGAAGGTGACTACTTCCAACGTTCTAAGATGTGGAAGTATTACTCGTGTGCTTCACACTTAGCATTACTCTGTCTATGATAGACTGAGATTTCTTCTTCTTTATTTTCTTTTTTATTTATTTATATATTTATAGACCTAATCATTACATCCTTATTATTCTGATCCATGACAGACCTTCCAGCCAGTAATCTCTCAGGACAAGCTGGGGTGTTTGGTTCTACCATGCTCCACTCACTAGATCTATTCCTAGTATGAGTATTTCACTTCTTGGTGGTAAAAAAATTACCGTCTTTGTTTGTCACTGGAAATTCAACTTATAGTGTGTAATTATCGTGTAATGCACAGGGATTTCTTGGTCGTCGACTGTGAAACTCTTTTTAAATGAGTCTTGCCTCACATCCATGTATTCCTTCATAAAATCTATTTCCATTATGCACTCTCCTTTAAATCTTTCCATACAAGCATCCTTTTCTGCTCATGTCACGAGATTTTACTGAGTTACATTCAAAATTTAATTAAACTACTTTATTATCATGGTATATGAATAAACTTGGCATCAAAACATAGCTAATAGTCTAAATTCTAATATTATATAAGTTTTAAGTTTTAATTTTATAAGTGGATATAAAAAAAATCCTCAATATCCTCTAATATGAGAATTGTGACATTTGATCTCTAGGTCTTCCCTATTATCTAATTTATTTACTATTCCTCTGAGAACTTTTAGAATTTGATGTAAATTACTCCTTATCATATTGTTATTACTTAGGAAAAGCATAATTTTTATAGGCTTCAATATTATTTGGTTACAGAGCCATAAACTAGAAAATCAGACCTCTTTTTGCCATGCCCACCTGTCACATCCTGTCTTTCACAAATTGCCAGTAGTTCTCTCTGGTGTCTAATAGTATATTATTTATAACCAATAGAAAGCCAAAGTTTTAGTATATTAAACGACATATTATATTATGTTATTTTCTGTACAGAAAATTGTGTATTTCATTTCCATTTCAAACTTGATTCCAACAGTAAACACATCAACAATCTTAGCCAAATTTTTAATGGCTCTTATCGCATAGCTAGAATGCTATAAAAATTATGATAGTTATAGGACAGTGTCTGCTTTTCGTGTGTTATTATTCTGTGTTCTTAGGTGAATTACTTAATTAAATAAAATGTTATTTAGTGCAATAGTACCAATAGTTTAAAAAAGTAGGGTTAAGTTTTATCGACAGCAAAGACCCAGGTAAGTACGATATTTCTTGTTTTTTATGTGTATTCTTTCTTTATTATTATAAAAGTAATTAAAATGTAAAAAATTTAAACTTTTTAAGTTAGATAAAGTTAGATTAAGTAAAACAAGGAAAATTAATAATAATGATAATTTTTCATGATGTATGCTCATGAGCAGTCCATGCATTATGTAATTCGATATGGTAACATGAATTACATGTTCACCAAGTGATTTACAACTTGTGTGGTGGGATTATTAGTTAGCCATGGTTAAAAGTATAACTGTAAGTAGAAATAGAGGTATAATGTTTAGATTTTAAGCTATTTAGGATAAACAATTGTAGTTTCTTGTTACAATTTAAGTCATTGTAGAAAGAAAAAAGGGGTAATTTAGATTTATTTCCCATTTATTTATGGTGGTTACAAGGCTGGTAAAATTGACTGACCTTATATGGAGTTAAGATAGAGAAAATAATAGGCAAAATATAAAGTTTTACTAAAAAACGTTTGAAATTTATTTAGGAGGTTTTAGTTAGTTTGTAAATAAGCACAAAGCTACACAATGGGTTATCTGTGCTCTGCCCATCGTGGGTATCGAAACCCGGTTTCTAGCATTATAAATCCACAGATATACCATTGTGCCACTGGGGGCAGGAGGTTTTAGAGGTTACACAAAAGAAATTTTCAGATGAAGAAAAGTATTTTTAATCTTAACATGAAAATCACTTTGCACTTGGAGCATTCAACACTTTGTCTCCATATATTCATGGAGAAATGTTTAGTGAAAATGCTTCATTAAAATTCTGATTTTTCTTAATGCTTACTGAAAGCTTGCTAAATTTTATGAAGATACACAAAACATTAGAAGTTATAGTATGGAAACTATAAAGGTCAACCTGGGGTCACAAACTTGGCAAATTTGACTGAACCCATTAGCGAGATTGTTAATGTGAATTACCCACATAGAATTTCCAACTTTCATTTTGATGGAACTTTATGACCATTTGCTGTTCACATCAATCCATCTTCTTGCTTCACCTGTGTAGGCAATTTACCACCTTTCATTACCAGATCGGGTCAAACAATGGTGGCTGTGGAACCAGTGTTGATCAACATATTGCAAAGCTTACCTTCAATGAATCCATTGATTCTTGGACTGATTTCTTTAAATATTGAACTCCTTATTTCAGTTTGGACAAGTGGAGTATATTCAGCTAATCTTTATTTCTTAAGTCTATCTAATTTCTGTTTTATGAGGTCTAGTGCTTGTTGTTTCTTGGATCTTTTTAGACTGTAGGACTCATCTTCAAGGTATTGTCTCTCTTTTTTATTTCACATGAAGATTAACCACAGTTTGGCTGTATTGTTTATGTTTTCTACTTTCATAACAGTTTTCTTCTTCTGTCGTCCTTTGTGTGCAATTTAAGTTTTCTGGAAGTTTTTATGTGCAGTTCTTGACAATATGTCATTCATAGCTCACATTTGAAGCATCTAGTGCCCTATGATGTACTTGTCCATATTGAGTAACCATTTAATATAATTAAGCTCTTGTAGATTTCTATCAGAAGGAAATAATGTTTCCCTACTCTTATATCTTATAATTTTTTACTGGTGCTTTTAGTTGTTTAGCTGCAAATTTAATAGATTATAGTTCCTTTGCCAATTAGACTGCTTCCTTTAAAGATGTACACCTAACTATTTTGCATATACTTATCTATTATGGCACCTGTGTAGTGATCATGCCCAATGAAACATATAGATAAGATATTGGGCAAGTCTTTTCACACTTCCGCAACTTCATGTAAAGTCTCTTTCTTCCACTTTAATTTGCTCCTAAACTTTGCTTTAGAAATTTCCTTCTGATGTGACATTCCAAATCAGTGTGATAAGGCAGCCAGAATTGACTGGTGGTTATTATGACTCTCTGTTGGAAGGTTGCTTAATGTCGTTAATTTTATTTTTTTTTTGAATGTGCAGCAAGATGAATAAATTGTACTTCACTGCTTTGTATATTCAGAGTTATTTTACTACTAACATTGATGAAGCTGCAATGGTGAAACAATTGGTGAAATAAAAAAATTGTTTTTATTATCTGGTGAATAAAGGTTGTTGTTTTTCTCTACTTTATTACCAAAGTGTCTAAATCCCTTCAATATGTACTACAAATTCTGGAAAACAATAAAATGTTGTTAATGTTTTCTTCGTATGTTTTCAGATTATCACACTTTATATATTCATAATATAATATATACAAATATCAGACAAATGTGCTACTCCTACTATATGATTTAATTACACTAATGAATGTTGTTCTACCTAAACAATTTTCCTCTGTTCCATAAAACTCTTATAGTAATGTTCTCATTTTATCATATTCTTAGGCTGTCTGGTTTGGATGTGATGTTGGTGCAAGATTTGCTGGAAAGCCTGGTGTTCAGGATCTTAATGCGTAAGTAGCTGTTGTTGCACTCAAGTTAAAGTTAGCACATTGGTATATTATTTTGAAGTTAATATGTTCACAGTAAACAAATTCAGTATATGGTTTCTGTGTGGTACTTGCAAACTTACTAAAAAAAGTATTTGTAGATTTGTTTGTGGAATATTTTTTTGTGGTATTTTTTGAAGAGAAGTAATCTGCTGTACTTGTTGGTTAGACTATGTTAGGAGAGATTATTGTTCCTTGTTCTTACATTTTGCAACAAAGTAACCTTTAAAGTTCAACTATTTGTTTGTTTGTTTATTTATAATTAAGCACAAAGCTACACAATGGGCTATCTGTGCTCTGCCCACCACGGGTATCGAAACCCAGATTCTAGCATTGTAAGTCCGCAGACATACCGCTGTGCTACTGGGTGGCTTAAAGTTCAAGTAAGATGAGGGCTAAGATATTGACTCCACCCTTACTACATTTGAAGATTGCAGATATAGATTTCAAAAATGCAATACTGGATTAGAAAAGTTACCACCCTTAGAATATGCTACTACGTGTATCTAATAAAAGTATTTAGGATTTAGAAAAGTTATAATTATCAAATTGAAAATAAAAATTGGGATGTTGCACCCAGTTTTAAATAATTCAAATTTTAATTAACTGTTCACAATTTTATTGTTTATTATAGTAATAAAGTATAACCGACTTTATAAGGTGCTGCAAACCCAAATTCTCATAGACAAAGGGATTATTTTGTACCTGTGAAATGCAGTGCCTGTCATTACATTAATAAATGTTGCTCTGAGGTAATCACATACAACAGTTCTAATAAATGCATAAACACCTGCAAAGTTATCAATTATGATAGCTTTGTATGTGACAGAAAATATACTCTTGGCTTTGTTATGTCACTAACAAGATACCAATATATAAAAATGTGTGACATTTAATTTTTTGAAAACTCTTTATAAGTTTTATATTTTTAGTTTGATAATATTTTAACATTTGAGTAGGTTCAGTCATGCAGCTAGTACTTTAATATAATTTTGTCATAATGATGTCTTATTGTGTCCTTCATCAATTAAAATTCTCAGACTGCATTGAATAATGGTTTTTTCTTAATACTTGCAGAGTTTTATAGAAAACCATATCTCTCTCATATTTATTTTCTAAAAAGAAAAATTCCAGGTTATCTTTTTTTTGTAAGTATAACTGTCATGTGTCCATAATATGTTTAAAAGAAATCTGTAAAGTGGTCTTGTAATTTATATTTATGTTTTTTTATTGTTTTGTTTTTTTACCTGACAGACACGATTTTAAATTAGTGTTTGGTGTGGATGTCAACCTTGGGCTGAACAAAGCAGAACGACTCTTATATGGTGATTCTCTAATGACACATGCTATGGTTTTTACTGCAGTCAGTTCAGATGTAAGTTAGTCTTTTTTCTTTTCTTTTTTTACTAGCAGTTTCTTAGAATGAGGAAAAAAATGAGCAGTATCTGTAATACTTAAGTTTTTCATGCAGAGGCAATACAGCTAAATAAAAGAATTAACGGTTCTTACCTCTGATGTTTGGCAATATTTACATCCAAATTCACAAATCAAATATGTATAACTTCAAATTAGATTAAAGACAAATTTTTCCAGTAACTCATAAAAAATCTAGTTAAAATTACAAAGTGAGAATGGTAGATTGTATTTTGATAGGAATGGCATCTGCAAAAGTGGGACTTACACATCAGTGGGTATACAGTTTCTGTTAGATCTTACCACCGTGTGAGATCTCCCGTAGAATCCTCTTTTACTATGAAAAGTTAAACTGTTTCCAATCAGATAAACTTAGAGTCTGTTTATTTTCTACTATTTTAAGTTACTTGGTTAAGAATTTACCTTAAATGATGTTTCTTGCATTTCCAGGCAACATATTTTATTGAAATAGCCTTAGTTAACTGTAACTCAATTGTATGAATATCCTAAACTTGCGTACAAAAAATAGTGTATAAATAGCACTTAAGTAGAAGCCTATGCCAAGTTTACTAACCACTACTTTCTCTTGCTAAGACTATACTTAAAAAGGAAGACATCTTAACCTAAAACAAAATCTAAATAACAGGTTTTAAAACCCAGTCAGTAACCCTGGAACACTTTGCAGCTCGGAGCTTGAAAAGAAATCATAACCAAGATTTTATTGGATAAGCAACATTTTTAGTTTCATAAAGCTGTATATGGAAGTGAGTTCCACATCTGTGTAGGCAGTCATATGTATTCTATAATGTTGGTTGTTACATTGTAACATGTTATCCTTTTGTTGTCACTTCAAGTAATTATTCTCTTTTTTTCAGGTAGCCATTGATTTTCAATTTGAAGTTATATGAAACACTACTAGATTTAACATTTATAAACAAATTATGAGTGATTATTTTTATCTTGTGCTTAATACGTATACAGTTTTGAACATATGTAAATGTTTGTTAACACTTGATTCCAAATTTTTAAAGTTTATAGTTTAGTTATTGAACTTTTTACATTGTTCCATGTTTTGTGTCACAGGAGGAAGGTAAACCAATCAAATGGAGGGTGGAAAATTCTTGGGGGGAAGAAAGAGGAGAAAAAGGTAATATTTATAACACATTTTCAGTATTAATTCTGATATTCTGTAAGGTTGACTGTTGTGTAACATTAGTATGTTGTGAATAATTTTATGTGAATATGCATCCTCTCAAGAGTGAAACAGATAAGAGAAATTCACTTTGGTATGCACAACTTCACTTATGCTATCAAAATAAATCAGAAATTGAAAGTATAATGAAAGCGCACATTACTACCCTTTCTTGGGAATGATATACATGTTCTTCCCTGATTAAAAAAAATATGAATTCAAAATACCTTATCTATGTATATGTAAATATTTAAATTGCATTATCTTACTATTAGATAAATAGTAAACTGACCCTTGATCTAGCATGTCAAACTGCAATCTTTATTTTTTGACATGGTTTCTTGCAATAGTTGTTCTTGAGTGATGAATTATGTTTTGAGGTTTCTTTTCTCCCTTTCTAAATGCTCACTTGTTCACAAAATTAGCTTTGGCATAGCAGATGGTCACTGAATCTTTTTATTTTGAAAATCGTTTTATTATGTAATGTCCTATGTACTTATTGTATCTTGTGTTACCAGTTGTTCAGTTTATTTTGGTAAATTTTTTTTTTGTTCGTTGTACAATATCCTCATGCTCAAATGGTTATTTTATGGTAATATTACTGACTTTTTCAAGGTATATATGTAAACATACACACAAATGTTTTTTTCTATGATAAAATATTTGATTATGTAGTTGATACATAGAATTGTATTTTTGACATTTCAATGTTAATAATTATACAAGAACAATACACTTCCTATTCAGTATTTATGATGACATGTTTTTATTCCATCAATTTCGTTGTTATTAAGTCAGTGTCTTGGTAATGAATGCAAATTATATATTGGTCTTGTAGGTAATGGTACACAGATTAAAGACACAGCACTAGTTGTGATAGTTTATACCATCTAATTGTAGAGAATGGGTGTATACAACTTGAAGAGAAGTAACATTACTGATTTTGTTGGTTTAGTCTTGGCTACAGGTTTCCAATTATCACAGTCTTGAATTGTCAGTTTCTCTTCGTCCTCAGGTTGACTTAGTATTACAAGGTTATCATCAGTGACAGGAATGTTATACTTTGTTAAAACATGTAGAATGCATGATGAATTCTCATGTTTTGTAGGTACATGTTCTTTTATACAAGTAGACAGCCATGTAATGTTATTCTTGTGCACAACTAGAACATTTGTCTTGTAGATGAAAACCATCTATTAACCACATGGTTAAAATGAAAAATTTCTTTTTTACTCTGATAGTAAAGTTGAGCATATGTCTAATCTATATTTGTGAACAAACTACCTGAAGTACTGTTACCTTAGATATATATATATATATATAAAAGCCAGAAACAATATAATAAAATTGAAATTCAAAATTATGCCTCCATTATCATTCCTTTTTGTCATCCATAAGTCATAATGCTTGTGGTCATAGCACAAAAATGTATTAGAGATATTCCGTCTATCAGGCAAAATCCAAATGCCAATGTAAAACTTGCCAGCAACTAAGGAGAATCAGTTACGGGTTAGGAGTTGAGTGTTTGAACCCACAATGTCTCAACTCAAACTGCCTTTCACCGTCTACAGCCAGTTGTTAGAAGGAAGTTACTCTTAATATTTAGAAATAGCTTTAACATAGAATAAACCAACAAAAAAAATTTCTACAAAGTAAAACTCCCAACCTCCACCCTTTTTTTGATATTATAGAAAATAATAATAATATTCTTATAGTAGAAATGAGTCAAAGACAAATAAAGGTGATATTTTAAAAGACTTGGATAAAAATATTGATGATTATATTATAAAAATCAGTAAAAACTTACTACCCTCCATGTTTCTTTTTTAATGGAAATTATTCTTTATTAATTCCATAAGTAACCAGTTAAAAACTTTAAATTTATATAAATATAAGATATATATTTCTTTCAATAATTTAAAAAATATAATTAAGGAAATTCAAACAATTTATTATTACACTTGTTGATAAAGCCAGTTGTAATTTTGGTATGTAAAAAAATTATCTGCACAAATTTTAACTAATGAAATTAATATAACTAATGCATTGACAAAAAGTATTTTAAATAAAAATACAATAATTACTATTTTACAGAAAGCCATTAAAAAATAGAGTATTAATAGAGACTCTTTTTGCTTTAACCTACTTTTTTATATGCAATTTCACAATTACATAACTCCTATGAAGTTTATTACCAACTATTTAAATACTATTACTAGATCTGTTTCTATAGTATTTAATAATATTTTAGATGCTTTATTTGAAAAAAGTAAAGTTACTGTTTTCAAATGATTTGGACCACTATTTTGCATCATAAAAAACAATATTTTGGTTTTTGATTGTTTAAGTAATTTAAACTCTTTACAAACAACCAACTCTGTTATTACTTATGATTTCAGTACATTATATATTAAAATAAATCTCGAAGAATTAATTAGGGTCTTTAATGACCTGTTTGATAAATTTATAGATGCAGAAATAATTTTTTCAAAACAGAAATTTACCAAATATCAATGCAAAAAATATACTTAGTTTTTGTACATATAATAGTTATATCACTTTTAATGAAGAAATATATAAACAAACAGTGGTTTCTCCATATATAAATAATGAGCATGAATACCACTGCTATTACTTCTTTCTTTTATAAGCTCTGTTGGTTATTATACTTGGATCAAAATTCAGGTTATTGAGTGAAATTAATCTTCCTTGTAACAAAAAAGTATACAAATATAAGTTAGAGTTTAATACCTGTTTCAAAAAAGAATATTCACAGAAAAAACATGTTGGCCATGTTTAAAGAGAAATTAGCACCCACTAGACATTAATTTAGTAGAAAGCAGAATAGTGTTGATTAATTTTGACAAGAGAAGGGACTTTGATTTTCCCATTCTTGGTTTACCCACCCCTAACAGTGTTGTTCTGTTAATATTATTAAAAGGGATTATTATATCCCAATTTTTTAAAAAATTAACTGCTTGTAATAACAGTAATTCTTTTATGGATAATGTTACATTATTCATAATTAAACTGAAAAATAATGGTTGTCAGGGCTGGTTTATTAAAAAGATTTTTTTACTTTTTTATAATAAACATGAAATTATGTTAAAGGTCAAGCTCTTATTCATGGAGAATACATTATGAAGAACTTAGAGGGTGTTAATTACTTGGTTTATGTAGCTAATTGTTACATTTAGAATAGTTCAGTATACCGGGGCTGAATGACCAACTTCAGGTAGCTGGGCTTGTTTTGGCTCACCTGGTTTATGCTTGAATGGTAAGGATTCTTTGTTTTGTTTAACATCACTAATTATTAAATAAAAGGGTGGAGGTTGGGAGTTCTGTAGAAATTTGGAGTGATTCATTTGTACTATAAGAATATGATTATTATTATTCAAAAACATACTTACCTCTGCTGACAATATAGCTATTTCTCGATCTCCAGGGTTTCCACTGTTTGCCCAACTAAGCATTGAAAACACTTTCTCCAGTCTTTTATACCTTACTCAAATGCCATTGGCAAATTCTGATTTGCTAAATTCTCTACCAACTTCAATGCGCCCTCTATATAGGTACTGTATATAAGCACCTCATTCAGATAATGTAATCACATTTTCTTGACAAAGCATTCGGCACAGGTTTCTATAAACAGGAGTGTTGTGATTATTCATAATTTACATTGTAACTTTGAATGTGGTTGGTGTTATATCTGCATTTATATTTATAAATGACTTTAACAAAAAAAAACAAAAAACGTACCGATGGGTATGAATTCTCGAGTTAATGTTTTTACTAACAGAGACCAACCAGACCTCTTCTCTTCCACCTTTGCTATCTCGTGTTTGTCAATGGCCAAGAGAGGGGTCACTCTCAGTCAAAGCTGTCTGTGAAATGACCTGGGACCAGCTGGGGAGAATTTAGACTCACCTTTTCTGGCTCCTTCTACTACTAAATCAACCTCAACAGAGGATCATCTTGATCAGCCACCTCCAGCCCCTTTTCTTCAGTTGGTTACTATGGTTTGTGAGGTTTAGGGGGTCTCTCCTGTTGCATTTGACTCTACTCCTTCCTTGTTAGCAGAAAGGATGGCAAATGACTACTCCTCCTTCTCCTAATATTGCTGTTCATGCTGGGAGATTTGCCACTCAGTTATGTGATGGAATAGCTATGCCTTGTCCCCTACATTTATCAGAACAGCATGCTTTGGCTTATCACCACCAGGAGGAGGTATATTTAGATTCAAAATGGATGGACCCCCCTTTGGACCTCTAAACAGATCACAGTTTTCTTGAAATTTGTCTTACTCTCACGACCGTCCTGAGGTATTTATCTTCAATGCAACTTTTGTTGGAAGCCTATCAACATTCCTCTCAGCAATTTGAAGAGGAGTTGAGGATTTTGCTGACGTCTACCTCAGTCAGATTGTCTTCTTCAGTTCTTTCTCTGGTTTCCTCTGGTTTATTGTTGGAATTTATTGGGTAGAGATGCTTTGTTAGAAAGTGTTTGTTTACTGTCTTCTGCCCTTGGAGTTACGGAAAGCTCCTTGTCTCTGTCCTATGTTGTATGCCGGAGTTCCAGAGACGTTAGAATCATGAACTGATTCAGCTTGTTTACATTTTTTTGGCTTCTCGCCTTTTTAGTGCTAATTTGGGATTGTCAGCTCATAGTGTTTCCTGACCTCCTCCTTCGGTTCCCAGGTCTATTGGTTCCCATAATAGAGTCTGTCCATATTTTCGAGCAACTTAGGCAGACCATAAACAATGGCATTGGTAACTATCCTGTGGGTGGGGGAGCAGTGGGAGCTGGACATCTGAAGTTCTTTCACCAGGGATCCATGGATACTCCATGTTCTGGCTTCAGGGTTGAACATTCAGTTTACATCACATCTACCATTATCTGCACAACCGGTTGTCATAAGAGAGTTGTTAGTCAAAAGGGCAGTAGAGAGGGTCGAT